TCTACTCTGATTTGATTGGTAATAAATTTAAACAATTTTCCCAAGTTGAGTCTGTTTTTCCTGTGACAGTAACTGGTGAGTGATCTCTCCCTGTTCTTATCTCGACCCACAAGCCTTTTGTTATATTTTCTCTGCCCTGCCCAGCTGAGGAGGGGAGTGATGGAGTGGCTTTGGTTGGCACCTGGCCTCCAGCCAGGGTAAACCCACCACATGCTGAAACTTGTCTTTCTTCTCCTCTTTAAGGTGTGTGCCCCTCCTTCCCAAAAAGAAAAGAAGAGGAGCAAGAAAGAAAAGAAACCCGTATATTTGCTGCAGGCTGTGACTGGCTTGTGTAATAACGCTGCCTTTCTCTCCTTGTTTTAGGGAGTGCTGCCGATTTTTTGGAGACAATGGCTTGACTTTGAAGGTATTTTTTACCAAGGCAGCACCCTTTGGTGTTCTTTGGACACTCACAAACTACCTTTACTTACATGCAATAAAGAAAATAAACACTACGGATGTCTCCGTGTTGTTCTGCTGCAACAAAGCTTTCGTGTTCTTGCTTTCATGGATCGTTCTGAGGGACAGGTTCATGGGAGTGAGGGTAAGTGACTCCTTATCTCTGTCTCCCTTCTTCCCCCTCTCCCTTCTGCCTTTCCTTTTCCCCTTCCCTCCCGCCAGCCGAGTCGAGCAGCACTCCATGCAGACAGCCAAGCGGGTGCAGAAATCCTTGCAGAGTGGGGACGCATCCTTCCCTGCAGCCTGCCCAGGCGCCTGCCAGCTCCCAGAGCCCTCGTGTCCCCCAGCCTGGTGTCTTTGTGCATTTTCCTTCAGAAAAGAGGTAACTTGCTCCAGAGTGTGGCACGAAGCGTAGCTGCTATCTCCATGTTGCTGTGGACATGCATCAGCCTTTGCCTGCCCCTTCTGAGTGACAATTCCCCGGCTGCGGCACCAGACCTAGTCGTTTCTAACTGCACATTCCTGCCCGCAATGCATTTCCGGTCCCAACCTGTGAATTTAATGGGTCCCTCGCCTTTCTTATGCACAACAGCAGGCTTGCAGGGCGGCACGGTTATCCTTTGCACCCATGTCAGTCAGCAGCAGCTGCAGAGAGGAGAGCTGGGCTACAGCCGAAGCGCGTGCGTGCGTCGCTGGTGCAGGATCGGTGTAACGCCTGGCCAGCACCTATGGGCACGGGGCCAGGCAGTGAGGGCTCGCTCGCCTGGTCTGCTCTCCCGGCGGCACCCCAAAGGTTTGCTTACACCCTTAGTCCTACACCCCATGTGACCATCTGCTCCACAGGGTCGGGGGGCGTATCGGAAACCCCCACAGCTCCTTGCTGACCCTGCTGCGTTCTGGCGGCCCTCAGCATGTGGTGTCCTCTGGCAGCAGAGCGGGGTGGGTGGGTAACCCACTGCCCAGGGCCAAGGAGTAACTGCATCAGTGGGTCCCTCCTGCCTCGCTGCACCAGCAGGCACTTACTAATATTAACGGCAAGAATGGTAATAATACTTATTTTCCGCCCATCATTTGAGGAGCTCTCTGCTCACCCACTCAGGCAATGCTTTCAGTGCTCAGAAGAGGCTGTTAGCCCTCACTGCGTGGAGCAACCAAGAGTTAACTTTTCGGGAAGCGCTCCTCTCCAGCAGGAGCCCTTGGCCAGCCTTGCCGTGGTGGCAGCCAAGATGCTGCTCTGGGAATCGTTGCAAAATGTACTTGCCAAAAGCCTGGCCTGGCCAGCTGGTGTCTGTGCTTGCCCACCCACCTGCCCAGGTAGCCATACCCTGAAAACAAATTAACTGGATTTTTTGAGTACAGAAGCAAGGGTATCCTGAAATGGTCCTGAAGGAGAGAAGTGTTACTGTTATCCTAGCTGGATGCGCAGGACATTTTGATAAAGTAAAAAAAAAAAAGCATATTTTTGTGGTCTTCAGCTGTCCTGTGGTGCTGTCAGCTGTAGTGCTGGTGGGACATCAGGAGAGGAGGTGTGTAGAGGGCTGACCACTGCTTTCCTGCACGTGCAGCTTGCTCCTTGGTCTACACGTGCCGTCTCTCAGCGCTGGGCACGGCTGAGGTCTGGGGAGAAAGCAGCCGACCTGTGCGTGGGGACACGCACAAGGGCAGGCACATGCCAGAGCAGAGATGGCTCTTGTGCTCTCCTTGGGTGCATGCCTGTGCGTGAAGAGCCAGGGTGGTCAGGGGCTCTCCAGCAGCTTCCTGGCCAGGCTAGGTCTTGTGCTGTGGCAGGTGACAGGCACCAGGGGACTAATCCTGCTCTGCATCCCCCCCCTTCCCTAAGGAGTGGAGGGAGCAGGGAAGCAGACCTGAGTGGTGGTCTTGGCCATGTCCAGCTGTCCATCGTTTCTTATCAGCGCTGCCTTGGGAAAGGCTGACTCGCTCAAAACCCAGCAGCAACAAAGCAGAGACACAGAGCAGGGGCCAGGGAGGTGGGGGACATGGGATGCTCCTGCCACATGTCCCAGCCCCTCACCATGGCATCTGGCACTGACAAGAGGTAGCAGGTTGGTGGGGGCCACTTGCTGAGAAGCCACCTCTATGCCCAAGGAGGAACATGGCCATCTCCCACCCTGGTGACAGGCCAGCAAAGGGCCTGGGCACAGGGGGAACAGGCTTGCAGGGGGACTGAGCTATTTCCTCTTGGGCCAACGTGGCATCCTGACGTGGCAAAACGTGAATGAGGAAGTGCCTGTCCATCAGGACTGGCAGGGCACGGGGCAGCGCAGCAGTCCTGCTGCCCAGCTTCGTGTGCCACCATGGCAGCGGGGGGATGCTCCTGTCTGTGGAGGGACGTAGTGTGAAGTCTCTTGGAGAAATGCATTTTTCTTCCCTCTTTCCTCCCTTTTCTGTACCGCTCATGTGAAAAGCAACCGGCAGTGAGGGTGGCACTGCCTGGCATGCTGTGGGGGTAGCCTCGGGATGAACCCCAAAACAAAGCCCTCTTCCTGGGACTGGCAACTGGGAGGAAGGACAGTGCTGGGGTTTCTCCAGGAGCGACTTGGGGACTGCGAGCCAGCACACAGCACAGCCCCAGAGCTCGTGGTCCATGCTGTGCCAGAGCTGCTGACCCTTTCAGAAGCACCCTTGGAGAGGGTGTTTGGTAGATGAGGCTGAAATGAGGACAGTGCCTTGCCCTGTGGTGAGCAGGAGCCCTCACACGCTCCGTCTCCATCCCCATGGCAGCGCAGCAGGATGGATAGTGCTGCAGCAAAGCTTTGACCACACATTTGGGTGTCCCTGTTCACACCCACTGGAGAGGAGGCCAGGCGAGAAAGGCAGCAGCTTAGTGGGTTTTAAGCACATGCAAGTATCCTGCTTGGCCTTCAGAAGTGCAACTACTAGCTCTGCAAGCACTTAATTCACAATTTGGCCGGAATTTAAATGTATACACTGCAAAATCCTATCCTCACCACTCAGGCGCTTCTAAGTGCCTGCGTCTCCTGTAATGAAGTTACACTTCTCCCCCTTTCCCTTCACTGTGCCCAGAGCACAGTGTGTCCAGCTGCGCTGCGAGCTGCCCCGTTGCTTTCAGAGAAGACACACCTGTAGTGAAGCTGTGAGCGCCTGGGGTGTTGCCTCTGCAAGCCCTGCGGTGCTGAGGCATTGGCAAGTCCCCGCAGGCTGGCAGCCGTGGCGCGGCGCGGTGCAAGCAGCCTGTCACTGCTGCTAACGACGTGCGTGACAGACAGGCTGAAAGGCTTCCAGAGAAAGCGTATGTGACACACCTGGCACGTCGACAGGCGAGGCCAAGACTCATCTGACACTTGTGACATGCTTGATAGAAGAGGCAAAGACTTCTGCACCAGCAAAGCTGTTTGCAGACTGCATTTATTTGCTTTGGTCTCGGACTTTGGTGTTTCCCGAACAGTAAATAAAACAGCTCAGGATTCAAGAGAACCATCGCTCGCAAGTACCTCCTGCATATGTAACGTATAGACAAGCACACCTGCCAGTGGGACTTGGAAATAAATATACTATCAAATCCCAAATTGTAGTCTTCCTTTCCAACCAGGCAGACACCCAGCCTCCCGGGAGGTGCTCTGAAATCAGCCAGCCCCTGACCTTAAAAGCAAAACGGGATGCTTTTTATTCTGCAGTTCATTAATGCCCCCCTCCAAGTTTCCACTGCAGCGGAGTCGCAGCCGCCAGCGGAGGCTCGGGCAGGCTGCTCTCACCAGTGTGCGTGGAGGTACCGGCTGTTTGCCACAGCCTGACGTGTGGCTGTGGTCTCCCCCCGGCTCTCCAGTGAAGGCAGGACAAGCCCCATGCATCTCAGCCGGGAGACAGCCAAGCCTGGAGCAGGTGCTACAGGAGACACTGCATCTACCACCGCTCCTTTCTCTGTCACCTGGTCTCTAGCACAGGGGATGCTGAAGGACTGGAGTTGCCCTGATCTTTCAGATAAGCCCCAGCCATATATCTTGCAGGTCTACAAAGAGCTATAGAGTCAGACCAAAGGTGCATCTGCCCCAGGAGCCTGACTCCAGCAGCTGCCAGTAGGGGACATCTAGAAAAACTGTCTAAACAGGAAAAGCCTATAATGATATTTCCTCATGAGACTTTCCAGCCTCCAGCAATTTGAGGCTCAAGGACTTCCTGAGATGGAAGCGATGTTCCTACAGTTAATAGTCCTTGATGGATTTTTTCTTCCATGAGTTTATCCTTGTAAACTTTTCACATCCACAGTGTGCAACAGCAAAGATTTCCTTGGCTGCATTATATGCTGGGTGAAGACAAATCTCTTTTTTTTATTGTTCTGCACCTGTCCCATGCTAGTCTCATTCAATGACCTTTTTTCTTGTGCCTCTGAAGCCACAGAGTGTCTGGATTTTTTTTGACATGCACCAGCATGCTGAGATGGGAGAACTGTTGGGTGCTGCTGAGCTCCTTCAGTCCTGCCTATCATCTGAAACAGCCCCATGTTGCTGTAGAGCCATCCATTGGGGTTTTCTTCTCCCCTTGCTTTAAAAAGTAGCCTGTGCAGGACTGTAGAGCCCAGTTACACCACCACCACTTTAGAAATGATGCACCACAGCCGTGCATGGAGAGATCTGATGCCGACAAGGCTGCAAACCAAGATACCATATCTGCATCTCTCTAAATTTGCAGCGTGCACACCCAGCCTTTGCAGCTTACACTGGGCTCCGCTCTGATGAGGCCATAAATTGGCATCTTCAGAACCTGCTGCCCCTCCATAGCCCGCCAAAGCTGCGCTCATTCAGTATCTTGCACAGCAGTACAGCAATTTCCAGACTCAAACCCCTTCTTGTCGAGATGCTGTTAACAGCTGTATTGTCCAGGCAGTATCAGCTTCTGCTGATATGTGCTCTTTTCTACCCTTACGCCACCCTGCCATTCTACAGCAAAACCTTTGGAGAAATTAATCCATTTCTGTTTGCAAAAATGAGGCATTTTTCTGTTAGGGGGAATTGCAGACATTGATGTCAGCAGACAGGAGGGATCTGCTTGGTGATTGTGGAAGATTTTACAGGTGTCCCCTGGCACCAGCCTTGGCTCAGCCCCAGGAAAAGGCTGCCAGTGCTGCCAGGATGGGGACCTGCAGCTGGTAAAGGGGTCTCTTCGCCGTAGCTTGCTCATCAGGTGGCAGCAGAGCTCGGCACACAGGCTTTCCCCCTGCATCTTCACAGAAGCCCCAGCATCGCTGCTGGTGAATGGGAAAGGTGAGAGGAGGCCATTGCTCCTGGATGTGTAGGCAGCCGCAGCCTGTGGATGGGGCTCAAAACCCCGGTCTGGCCTCGGGAAAGAGGACAGTTGGTTGGCACTGACCCAGCTATGGGTCAAAATAAACTCATTTATCCCAGCCATCTTAGAAGCATCACCGTGACTGTGCAGCCAAAGGGGATGTCGTCCAAGCAGGGTGTCCCTCGCACCACTGCAGAACCAGGAATCATGGAACATGCAGAAAGCCCTTTTCACCCCGGAATTACCACCTGAGCAGGCTTGAGGCGTCTGGCAGGACAG